GATCCATCAAGGATTAGGATCCATAAAGGATTAGGATCCATGAAGTATTAGGATAGATAAAGGATTAGGATCCATCAAGGATTAGGATCCATCAAGGATTAGGATAGATAAAGGATTAGGATCTATTACAGATTAGGATCCATCAAGGATTACGATCCATAAAGGATTTGGATTCCTAAAGGATTAGGATCTATAAAGGATTTAGATCCGTAAAGGTTTTAGGATCCATGAGTCGGCGGTTATTTCCTGTATATTGATCAAACACAAAGACTGGTTCAGGTTTATTTATTACATAATGTTTTTCATTACAATAATGTTATTTTTGAAAAAGAGGAGATGCCGTATTTTTTTTATAAATAACAGGTAATGATTGGACTTTATTACATCTTCTGGTAATTTGCAGGAAATTGAATGTTCGTCACGTTTAAGTCAGTTTTAAAGTCCAGATTTATTAGTTGCTGCATAATGTGGCCTGATCACCTTGGTGTTGTGACTTAGAGCTTCAGTTTTATGGAGAAGCTGCTGTTATAGAAAAGTTTAGCTGATTGATTACAGTTGTCTCCATAGAAACAGCAGGTTCTCTAGCAGAACAGACCATTGGCCACATTCCCTCTCTGTGTTTTTCACTCTATAATCTCATCTCCAGAAAACGTTTCCTTCTTTTAACCAAAAAGCTTTTATAAAACTCTGTATTAATAGAAATGAATGATCTGAGCATCATTCCTGTCTTGTTTTACCGGCTCCGTCACCCACCCTGTGATTTCACTTCCCCAGCAGCTCCTTCTGAACCTGGAAAGTTTGACCTGGTCTATCAGAATCCAGACGGCTCAGAGAGAGTGGAGTACGCCGTGCAGAGAGGATCTACGGTACGAGCTTCTGCGGATTAGCAGCAATGAGCCATTCACAGTTCAGATTAAATCCTAGCCTTATTCAGATGTGTTTGTTAAATTGATCCGTGTCTGTTTCTCTGACAGGTGATGGAACGATGGGATTCTCTGCTGGAGCCCAGACTGATCATTGAAACATAGAAAACAAGCGTATTTTCTGTCTTAGATGACATAAAGGACATTTTATTAAAGTTTGATGTATTTTGGGACCTGTTCTTTTTTAGAAATGCGATTTTATTCTCTTTATTATGATGTTCTATTAAAATGTTGCTGCTAAAATCTTGCATCCTGTGTCGCTGTTTACATGAGGAAATAGAAATGATACAAATAAGGGCCTTCATTTTTCTCTATGGGGTTTTATAGAGAAGCTTATTAAAATCTGTATCTTTTAGTTTTTAAGTAAAAAGGAATGATATTTCTGTGAAGTGGTAAACATACCAATTTTAAACCAGGAATGTGGAGGTTGGAAGGAAAAATTTAATGAATAACTTTAAGTAACTTTCTTAAATAATTTTGTTTTTCTTTGATCAAATCCAGCATCTTAGACTTTTATTATCATTTTGTATAGAGAGTATACAAAACGAAATTTGGTTTAGTGCAGCTTTCAGACACTGAATGAGCAGCAGCTTAGCAGGGAAATGAACATTTCCATTCATAAAGTGCAGCAGTGATCAAATCTAAACAGTGTGGGAGGAAAAAACATGGTGCAAAACGCATCCATATCAAAGTCCAGAGTAGTGCAAAAATGTGTAGATATATATGGTGCAAAATGCAACAGAAAAACATGATTGCTGATTGGTTTGATATCACTGTGATGCAGAGTCTCAATTTGTTACTTCCCTCTTTGATCTTCATTTTAGATGTGATTAATCTATCTCTGTTACAGGGATATGTA